TTTCTGTGACGTTCACGGTAAATTCAACACAATGCACACTTTTTAGGTCGGGCAGACCGGATTACTAGACAGCGGACGTGGTGCAACTGGTCGGATGGTCGATGTATTCAGTGTGAATATTGGACTTGGGGCCGATCAATGCGGTCGGTGTTCGGAGTAGACAGTGGTCGGATTTCACAGGTTGTTTTAACATAGGCGTCTATGGAGAAATTTCGGGACTACATAAATCGGTCGGTTCTGACAGTAGGTCGGTTTATCCAGGGGTCGGTTTTGACAGGTTTTACTGTATCACACTGCCTAATTTTTATATATCACACTGCCTAACTTTCATATATCACACTGCCTCATTTTCATATATACCTGGTAACACTGCCAAACTTTCATACATCACACTGCCAAACTTTCATATATCACACTGCCTAACTTTCATATATTACACTGCCTAATTTTTATATATCACACTGCCTCATTTTCATATATACCTGGTAACACTGCCAAATGTTTATATTACACCACCTAACTTTCATATATCACACTGCCAAACTTTCATATATCACACCACCTAATTTTCATATATCACACTGCCTAACTTTCATATATCACACTGCCAAACTTTCATATATCACACCACCTAATTTTTATATATCACAGTGCTAAACTTTCATATATCACACTGCCTCATTTTCATATATAACACTGCCAAACTTTCATATTACACCACTTAATTTTCATATATCACACTGCCAAACTTTCATATATCACACTGCCTAACTTTCATATATCACACTGCCTAAGTTTCATATATCACACTGCCAAACTTTCATATATCACATTGCCTGACTTTCATATATCACACTGCCTAACTTTCATATATCACACTGCCTAACTTTCATATATCACACTGCCAAACTTTCATATATCACATTGCCTGACTTTCATATATCACACTGCCTCATTTTCATATATACCCGGTAACACTGCCTAACTTTCATATACCACACTGCCAAACGTTCATATATCACACTGCCTCATTTTCATATATACCCGGTAACACTGCCAAACTTTCATATATCACACTGCCTAACTTTCATATATCACACTGCCTCATTTTCATATATACCAGGTAACACTGCCTAACTTTCTTATATCACACTGCCAAACTTTTATATATCACACTGCCTAACTTTCATATATCACACTGCCTAACTTTCATATATCACACTGCCTAACTTTCATATACATGTATCATGCTACCTAACATATATCATTCAATTTCACCGATATACTCACCTCCATGTCGTTCAGGTAATTTCAAAGCAGTTGGTCTTGGCGTGGCTGTTTTCTCTGGCTTTACAGGTTCTGGAGTTGGTGTGGGTGTTGGTGATGGTGTTGGAGAAGCATTACTAGATGACGGTGTACTTCCTTCTTCTAACAAGCTGATCTAAATGTAATTGAGTAACCAGAATTTTACTAAATTGTGAATGAGAGCAATGCATTCATGCACAGATGGCTGATAACATGACCTAGGATATATAAGAACAGGACAATACAGCTCAGACCTTACTAATTTCAAAATATCAAAAGAAAAACTCATCAACGAACATGAACTAGGCTAGTCTATCATTTAATATAGAAACGAAGCAAGAATGAAAATGAGTAGACGGAACAATGATTGCACAGTAATTGAACAATGATTAAACAGTGATTGCACAGTGGTAGAAAACTGGTTGCA